AAAATTTCCCCTCTTTGTTCAATGGCAGAGTCACATTTGGCATCTCAGGAGGTCAGATCTTTCAGCTGTACCTTAAAATGTTTGATTTGCCATCATTGAAAATTCAAGATTTCACATGGAAATTCAGATTTATGTCTTGTAAAATGAGAACATCTGAGTACGTGACCTGAATTCCCACAGGAAGCTGAGGAAATGGAGCTTGGGTACTCCAGTTTGCCATTGGCCCGTCCATCACCCCCACCACTGGTTGATTGTCATTCATCGTCATTCTTAAACCACTTTGATCCTTATACTTGGCCTGCCTCACACACGTTACTTGCTAATCCCTGAAGCATCCACGTTTGGGACCCTTGCAAGTTTCAGACTCTTTAGGATTGCCGGTTTCAATTCCCGTTTATCCTGGTTTTTTTGAGCATTGCCAGATTGGTTTGATTATATAGCCTCTCTTTATAATTGAGTATTTTTCCTTTTAGGATCTTAGTAACATTGGTCCTGCTTATGACAATCAAAAACAAAGCAGTGTTGTGTCTACCAGTGGGAATCTAAATGGTAAGTGTTTCAGTGTCTCATTGATGAAATATTTGTAAGCTGTTGAATCCAAGTGTGCCTAGAATTGGGCATTCTTTGGGTTGACTCTTAACTGGATATTTACTAAGATGCTTTAAAGTCCAAAACTCCATTTTTAGGAGCTAGCCAAGGATTTGATAGATGTTAGTGGAGGAAAACTTTTTTGTCACTTTACACCACAGTTTGGTCTTAAGTGAAACAAATTTAGTGTAAAACAAAGTACAACTTTAAGGTCAGATTTACTGTGTTTATATTAGACTCCCTATATATATCCTCATAACTAAAACTTAATTTAGAATTCACTTGCTTTCCACTTGTTTCCCTTAATTCAGCTGTTATTTAACAAACTTCCTGTACTCATCTTCTAATTTTTCTTGCCCTGAAACTTCAGCTTATTCACATGACAGCATTTCTGTATTGATCACCCGCTGTAGCATGTTTTTCTATTGGTAACCCTTCTAATAGTGGGAATGCCCTTCACTACTAATGGTAAACTAATGAGAGTTGGGGTAGCTGGGAGGTAGCTAGCTATTCATCTAACACATGGCATCATTAACTTGTCTTTTGGAGTCATAGCATCTTAAATATGTAATCATTTCCTGTTTGAAATGATTTTCAAATATGATACACTGTTATTAATATTCTGAGATGGGTTGGAAATAGCCAAGTGTATTGTTTATCTTTTTACACCATTTTTTCCCCTTTTAATTGTTAAAATTTGACAAATACATGGTGCCACTTCTGTTCTTACAGGTGGAGCCTCTTTTGGAGGTGAATGCCTCCTCTGTCTTCTTTCAGCCTCTCAGACTTAAGTATTTTGTGGTTTGGAAAATGCTTTTTGCTGAGTTGTGGTAGAAGCTGAAACTAAATTAAAATTTTAAAGCACTGTGAAAATGGTGGCAGTAGCACTTATTATGAAACAGTAGTTCCAGTTTAATGTTAGTAATTCAAAGCTTGTACGTTGTCATATTCTGCCTAACAGGACCAGGAGTCCCCTTAGTATTCCTTGTTTTACTCAAGGTGGATCTAAAACGTCTCTCTTAAAATGATTAAAATATAAATGACAATAAAAACTTAATAGTTTTTTGATTAAGTAACTCAAACTAGAGGTATTGATATTGTAACAGTTAAACGTTAAACCTTTTATGAGAAATAGGAATAACACCTGATGTGCTCATAAAAGGAAGTCCTGTATAAATCTGGTCCTGTCTATGTGGAATGTGACCTGCCCTCAACGTCTTGATCCTTTTTATTGCAGCAGAACTGCTGATAATTTTCAGGCTTGCCCCAAATTAAGATACAATACTCTATGCAGTTGTTTACATAAAGGTGTTTTCCTGCAGTTCAGGGACATTTTCTGGAAGACAAAAAAACTAATTGAGAGCAATGACAGAACTGGACAAAAATTTCAAAGTACTTATATCAGAAATACACAAGGTTGTATTCCTTGTGGCCTTAGCATGTAACTAAATTTTTTTGTGTGTAACATATATAAACTGTCTATTGATATTTGCTGTTAATTTCACAAGCCAGGTTAGTCTAACCTGAATTTTATGCGTTGGCATGATCTTGATCATTGTTGCAAAAATTGCCTACTAAATTTAAAGACTTCTTTCCTACTTGTGTCATGCACAACCACAGTGGATACCTAACAGCACTGGAGAGAAACACCTTTTCAGTACTTCTGTTTTTGTTTTCCATGTTTGATGTACTGTTGTCTTGTTGGATATTCAAGTTCAGTGCTTTAGCAGATATTGTGCCTTTACTATGTTTATGGAATATATCATGTGTCGTTCAAGCAAATGAACATCTACTCATAGTGAGGATATTCTCTCTTGATGGGTGTGTATTGATTTGGGTGGAAAAAAATCTTTATCCATGCAATTGTTTGTAGCTGTGGATGTTTGGAATCTGAATGAATGAAAATGCATTTGTGTCACATCCTCAGAAAGTGTACTGATTGCAGTTCATTGAGAAAGGAAGTTTGAAAATGTAACATAGAAATCAGGGTGAGGTTCATTTGAGCTTACTGCCAGAACCCAGTGTTCTGGGCTGTGAGACACTCAACAGACTCATTCAGAACCGGGGTGAAATCCAATATGCTTTCAGGAAGGAAATCCTCCTGTGGTGTTACACAAATGCACTTTGGGAGTGTTAGTCCCTATGGAATTTCAGTATCCACATGGTGCTTCCATCACAGCTCATTGAAAGTGATCTGCCTTCTCTTCAAAGGGGGAATTGCAGCAGGAAGCAGTGGAAAAGGAAGAGGAGCTAAGCGCAAACAGCAGGATGGAGGGACCACAGGGACCACCAAGAAGGCCCGGAGGTGGGCAGAACACCCACCCCCACTTACCACTGTTAGAGGTTTCTTTGGTGCTGGCAAAGTCTCAGAGGGAAAAGAGCCCTACTCTTCAGTAGCTCAGGTGTCAGAGGTTATAAAGCCTGTTCATTTTTCTCAAATCTTGAGTGCTTTGAGGGGTAAAATAATCTCTGGCTAGGTGTCCTGTTTTACAAACTTGTTACTACATAACACAGCCCTGGGGCAGCACCCTGTGGGGATTCACCTGGGGAGTAAAGTTCTCTGAAGGCATCTTGAGAGAGGATAGATGGGGGAGAGGGAGTGAAACCAACACTGAGCATTAAGTCTTGTACTTAAACTTTCCACCTCTCCCCTCTCGGACCTCTTCCCTTCCCTTTGTTCAATACTGAGGTGATGATATCCAGGGCATTTCTTATTTAGACGGGCAACAGACAGTAAGTGCTCATATCCCTGAGTTTCTGTTCATGTGTTATAATAATAAATATACTAAAGGAAATCATCCTTGTTCCTCTTCTCCCTTCTTCCCAATGATGTACTGGCTCTGTTTCATAGAAATCGCTACAGACTAAAGTAATTTATCCTTTTTTGCCTGCAGAGGGCAGGGTGACCTATTAGAGTAATGAAAAGCAGTTGTGAACCTGACTGTGTTCCAGCCAAAATCTAATAAATCAGAGGCCTTTCTTACAGAATTGAAGGCAGTTGAGCTAGAGGGGTTTTAGTTTCTTGATTTTATCTTTTCCTTTCTGCAGTGACCCTTTGTTTTCTGCTCAGCGCCTTCCCCCACATGGCTACCCGTTGGAACACCCGTTTAATAAAGATGGCTATCGGTATATTCTCGCTGAGCCTGATCCCCATGCCCCTGATCCTGAGAAGCTTGAACTTGACTGCTGGGCAGGAAAGCCTATTCCTGGAGACCTCTACAGAGCCTGCTTGTATGAACGGGTTTTGTTAGCCTTACATGATCGAGGTATGTATGGTGTTAATGTTCATGTTGGACCCGGTGTTACTTTGAACTACTGTCATCAGCTTTGTCCAATCTAGAATTAGATATATATGTCAGTCTATTATCACTCTTGCCACTCCCCCATCCCCCATGTCTAACTAGAGTCGGTCAGAATGTGCAAGAAATAATTTCCTTCTTTGTCTCTTCCTATAAGCTCTAGCCATTTTTATATATATGGTTCTTTAAAACTTTCTATTTTGAACTAATTTAAATTGACCGGTAAAGTTGCGAAAATAATAGTTTCCATATCTCTCTCATCAAGCTTCTCCTAATGGTAACATCTTACACAACCATAGTACAATTATCAAACCAGGAAATTAATATTGATAAATGCTATTAATAAAATTAAAGGCTTTATTTAAATTTCACCAGTTTTTCCACTAATGCCTCTTTTTTAGGAGCTCACGTTGCATTTAGTTATTTCTTCTTAGTCTTGTAGTTTTTAACACTTCTTCAGTCATCGCTTGTCTTTCATAACCATGACACTTTTTAAGGGTATTAATCAGTTATTGTGTTGAATATTCCTCAGGGTTTGTCTGACTTTTTCCTCATGATTAGACTGAGGTTATGCATTTTTTATAAGAACACCACAGAAATGAGCCCTTCTCATTGCATCATCTCATGGGGTTCATGATGTCAGTATGTCTTATTACTGGTTATGTTAACCACAATCATTTGGCCAAGGTAGTTTCTGCTGGCTTTCTTACTGTATTTCGTTTGTAGTTAATAAATGTCTTGGAGAAGGATACTTCGAGGCTATGCAGATATCCTATTTCTCTGTAAAGTTTTGTTCACTAATTTTAGCATCCATCAGTGGATCTTGTCTGCAGCAATTATTGATGCAATGTTTGCCTGATGATTTCTTTTCTTTCTTTCCCTTCTCCATTTATTGTTTAATTGATTATTTATATCAGGGTGGACTCATAGATATTTATTCTGTAGGGTATAATTTGTTTTGTTGCTCAAATTATTCCAGCTTTGGCCATTAGGCCATTAGCTTCTTCAGGTTGGTTCCTGTGTTCTTTCGATAAGCCCCATTTTTTTTTTTTTTTAGTACTTCCTTATTTTCTGGCATCACAAGATGTTCCAGGCTCATCTTGTATTTTCCATGCCCCAGGCCAAATACCAGCTACTTCTCTGTGGAGCCTGCTTCCTTTGATTGGAAAATGGTGTTTAGAAATTAAGATCTAAGTGTTAGGTATGGTCACTATTACTGTTACTGGGTGTGGCTTCTAGACTCCATCATTGGACAAAGGTAGGAGATGTATGTATGTATACTAACTGACACATATGTACATGGCTATACTGAGTTTACACTGATACCTTGGATTCCAATCAGACACCACACCTTTCCTTATTTGTAACTTTTTTCTCCAACAATGAGAAACCTGACTATAATTATCTACCATGTATTTTCTTATTTTTCATTTCTAATGTGCACATAAAGTAGTTCAGAATTGCCAACCCCTGTGAGGATCATTCACTAACTAGACGACAGCATTTATGTATAGTTGTTTTTGTCTTTAGTCTGGCAGGATCCTGTTAACTCAGATTAGTTCTTTTCTTTCCTACCTCCTTCAGTCTGGTTATGTTTTTCATTTATAATACAGTTAGGTTCATTTGTTAGTGTTTGCATGCCATTTTGGGTTCCTGTGAATTATCTGTGTGTGTTTTTTTTTTTTTTTAACTTTTTATTTATTTTTTTCCCCCAAAACCCCAGTAGATAGTTGTATGTCATAGCTGCACATCCTTCTAGTTGCTGTATGTGGGACGCAGCCTCAGCATGGCCGGAGAAGCGGTGTGTCGGTACGCGCCCGGGATCCGAACCCGGGCCGCCAGCAGCAGAGCGCGCGCACTTAACCGCTAAGCCACGGAACCGGCCCTGTTTGTGTGTTTTTATTTCCCGTTTTTCTGTCAGGATTTTGGTCCCTTGTCCCTTTATATATTAGAGATATTAGCCCCTTGTCTGTGGTATATGTTGTGAATATTTTCTCCCAGTTTCTCAGTTGTCTTTTGACTTTGTTTATGACTTTTTTTTTGGTCATGCAAAAGTCTTTTTGATGAATAGTAGTTCTTTTAATGACATAATTTATTCAATTATTAACAAGATAGCATTCATTATCCTTTAGAATGTGAAAGGGGATTTAAATAAACTACTTTTAGACAAGTGTACCTCATGAATTTTTGTTGTTGTTTTTCTGGAGTATTAATGCAAATTCCAGATTGCATATTATTTCACCCATAAATACCTCAATATTTATCTCTAACAAGGATTTTTAAAAACATAACCCCTATGCCGTTATCATACCTAAGGTGAATAATAATTGCTCGATTATCTGATACTCAGTCTATATTCACATTTCCAAGGTTCCTTAAAATATGCCTCTTTCAGTTGTTTCTTTGAATTGGATCTAAACTGGTCCATATGTGTATTACATTTGGAAGCCCATTATTTCTTGGTTTAATGCTAAAAACTCTAACACTTGTATTGATGCTCATTATTTGGAAGCGAAGTACTGTAATCCCATGGTGCAATGTCCATTGTACCTGGATTTGTTTGACTCCTATTAGTGACAAGCATACTTTGATAGTAGGGAAGGGCCAAATAAGTGACTTCAGGGTTTAAGAAGTGAGACTTGTCACTGTTGTTCCACTACACATAGTAGCCGTAATTCTGGAGGGGAAAAAAAAGTGAGAACACTGGCCCTTAACAGTAACTTGTTAGCACTTAATATATAGGATAGCAGTGGCTGCCTGCTCTTTATGCTGAACCTTATAGAAATTAACGATAAATCTATAGTGTATCATTCAAACTTATTTTGAATTATTCTCAGACTTACAAAAAAGTTGTAAGAACAGTATAAAACTTTTTTTTTCTGAACCATTTGCGAGTGAGTTGCCATGGTGCCTTCTCCCCTATGAGAACTTTAAATTGTGTATTTCTGAGGCCGGCCCGGTGGCGCAAGCGGTTAAGTGCCCACTGCGGCGGCCCAGGGTTCGCTGGTTCAGATCCCGGGCACGCACTGACGCACTGCTTGGCAAGCCATGCTGTGGTGGCGTCCCATATAAAGTGGAGGAAGATGGGCACGGATGTTAGCCCAGGGCCAGTCTT